CAGCAAAAAGAGCCAACATATAACATATAATGTTGCTGTATTTGTTTGTTATAATATTTTATATATTAATATATAAAATAATGTGTAGCATTTGGCGCATTGCTGGCTGCAGCAGCAGCACCAGCAGCAACAGCAACAGCAGCAGCAAGAGCAGTTAGGACAGCAGCAGCACCAGAGCAGCAGCAAAATGAGCGGAAACATCAGCAGCAGCAGCAGCAGCAGCAGCAGCAGCATACTGGTGCATCAGAGGCAGCAAGAACAGATTGTATACCACCATCACCCATCACCAGCACCACCATCATCAGCAGCAGCAGAAGCACGAACAGCAGCAGCAGCAGCACGAACAGCAACAGCAGCAGCAGCAGGAGCAGCAGCAGGAAGCGTACTGGTGCATCAGAGGCAGCAAGAACAGATTGTATGCCACCATCACCCATCACCAGCACCACCATCAGCAGCAGCACAAACAGCAGCAGCAGCACGAGCACCAGCAGTAGCAGCAGCACCAGGAGCAGCAGCAGCAGGAGCAGCAGCAGGAAGCGTACTGGTGCATCAGAGGCAGCAAGAACAGATTGTATACCACAAATAAGTTTTAGTCTTCCTAATAATCTTTGCTCTGTACTACATTGTAATACCATCACTAAATTCTCCAACTTTCTTTGTAGTACCTATTATACACATAGCAGCAACAGCAGCAACAGCAGCAGCAGCAGCAGCAGCAGCAGCAGCAGCAACAGTAGATAGAGGAGATGCAGTAGATACAAGATATGCAGAAAAAAAGAGGAAAAAGAAAAGAAAAAAGAGGAAAAAAGAGAGGATAAATCGTAAAAAAAAGGTAAAAAGAGATAAAAAAAGACATAAAAAAGAATAAAAAGAATAAAAGGGGAAAAAATAACATAAAAAAGAATAAAAAAAGAATAAAAAAGAATAAAAAAAGAATAAAAAAAAAGAAAAAAAAAAAGAAAAAAAAAGAATAAAAAGAAAGGGCGTACTTGATCAATTTAATGGATAATAACATAAAATAATCATAAAAAGGACTAAAAAAAGACAAAAAAAAGAATAAAAAAGAATAAAAAAGAATAAAAAAGAATAAATAACAATAAAAGAAACAAAAAAAGAATAAAAAGAAGAAAAAAAGGAGAAAAAAAAAGGACAAAAAAAAAAGGGGAAAAAAAATCCCTATACTTAGTTGATATATTGGAGAGAATTTTCTTAAGAATAAGAAGAATATAAATAGCATAAAAAGGGGTAAAAAAGAGGAAAAAAAAAGGGGAAAAAAGGGATAAAAAAGAATAAATATGAATAAAAAGGATATAAATAATAAGAAGAGAATAAAAAAAAGAAAGAAAAGGAATAAATAAGGAGCATACTTGATCAATTTTTTGTAAATTATTCCAAAGAAATTCAAATCTTTGATGAAATATTTTGGAGAAAATTTCTTTACGACGCCAAAGAGGAAGAGATAATATAAATAATATAAACATAGATAATACAGGTATTAATGCTGTTGTTTCTCTTGATACATAACCTATATATATATAATATACAAAGGGACATGTAGATAAATATTTATTTTATTATATTTTACTGTTTTTTTTATCTCTTTTTTATTGTTTATATAAGGGGAGATACATATATACATAATATATATTTATATAGATAATACACAGATTTAATTTATTAATTATACAATAAATAATACTACTAATAAATAAATAAATAACCAATTAAATAGATAAATAAATAGATAAATAAATAAATAAATAAATAAATAAATAAATAAATAAATAAATATACTTACTTTGTATATCATTAGCTAATGAGTGTAGCTTAACACTATTCTCATGGAACATGAGTACATCTTGATCATCTAATTGTAAGGAACACCATTGATTAAAAGAAATATATTTTGTCTCTGTTAATTGACGAGCAAAATCAATAAAAAGTATTTTTTTTTGTGTGTATGTATACACCTGAATAGGTAATGATGAGGAAATACGATTTAATAGATAAGAAAAATATTTACCACAATTAAATGTTATATTTAATATATCTATTTCTTCTTCTTCTTCTTCTTCTTCTTGTTGTTCTTGTTGTTGTTCTTTTTTTTGTTTATTATTTAATATATTTATTATATTATTTATATCTATATCCTTATTTATCTTATTATTTATTATTATATTTTCCTCATATAATATTATATCTTTTGTATATATACATAAAGAAGGAGCATATATATTTATTGCTTCCTCTAGTATCTCTCTTTCTCCATTAGATAAAGGTGTTAATAATATTTCTTTTCCTGTTAATCTTTCTCCTGTTTCTATTTCTCCTCTTATTCCTCCTCTTCCTTCTCCTCCTCCTTCTCCTTCTCCTCCTCCTCCTCCTCTTCCTCCTTCTCCTCTTCCTTCTCCTCCTTGTGTATCTGTATCTATTAATCCTATACCTTTATAATAATTAATATTATTAATTGTATCTTTGTTACTAATAACATCATTAATAC